GGAAATAACTCATTTTTTTATTCAAGTTTACCCAACGTATTCCAGCATCCAGCTGCCATGCACGTGGGCATTGTCAGTAGTTTCACTATAGCTCTGGTGAATTTCAATGGTGAAGTCCTCTGGAAATCTTCAATAATTGTTGTTGATTGCAGATGTGTCTAGTAGTTCCCATTGATTTTGCTTGTAAAGCGGGAAGAATGGCGCTAGGCTTACCGCACCGTGACGTCACTGCTGGAAGATGGCAGGAGGGAGGGGTTAATATATTTGGGCAAAAATGGCCGCTCCCAGACTCAGTGACCGCAACAAAAATGTTTAGCTTTTTACTGATTAAAGCTTAATTCATTAAATCACCACGAACGTATTAGTTTTAGGTATAAATAATGATCCATTGATTATTCTTTGCTGACTAGACTTCTCCTTTAAGACAGATATCATTACTGATGAACTGAAAAAAGGTGGTTTTATGCATGGAGATACATTATATTTCATTAAAAAAATAAAATACAGTTTAAACCCCTCTCTGCAAAAACAACAAAAACAAGACGGTAATAAATATCAGTTAATTATATCGTCCCTGTTTTTCTCAGTGGACCAAAAACGATTCTATTGTGCATCCCTACTGTGACGTATTCGTATTATTCAGCTAATTTGAAATGTAAAGATATCCCGATGTTAACTTAAGATAGATAAATATCAGAATAATATATAGCAGAATATTACAAAAAGTCTAGTTACCCCCGGTGCCGTGGCAACCACTCGGTAGGGGAAGACGAACAGATCCAGACCCACAAGCTGGAAGATGTTCTTAAACAGCCCGATAATCTGCAGAGCAAGCATGTCCTGCAGGAAGAAGAGCATCATGGGAGGGTCACACTCTTCCACTGATTCACTGTGGATTCACTGAAAGAGAGAGAAATACCTGTCTGCAGTCATCTCCCACTTTAAAGATGGCCGCCTGCCAGCAAACCCTGCCAGATCCGTCTGGATTGTCCTCTCCGTCCTCCACGGAGTCTGACGGACAGCGCAGACCCTCCCTCTCCAGTTCGCTCACCCCACAGCGCTTCACCTTAAATTTGGCCAGATATGGCGCCTTGGCAGCACTACAAACACAAACCCAGATGACAGACACACAGAAGAACAGGCGGATAACGCTAACTCCTTAAACACCAGGACTGTTTACCTCTGCATCGGGGTTCCAGACTTGTAGTCAATGTCCAGGACTATGGCTTCTGGGTTGCTGGGTAGATAACAGCCTGGAGGAGGAACAGGAAATAATTAATTGCTTGACAACACGTCAGACGAACAATGATTCTTATTCCTTCAGCTTTTAATATTTAATACATAATAAACCGGCTTAAAAAGCTGCTGCTGGATTCACAATACCAACAATAGCACTGGTAAAGCTAATAGAACTAATAATAGACTTTCTTTTCACATTTGACATGACTTAAATAAAAAAAAAAAAATCAAAACAAAATGTTCTTTAATGAAATACATTTCTTCCACATCTGCAGAAAACATTTTCCTATAGTCACTATGCTATGCTTGCAATAACTGACACGATCACGGCGTTTCAATCTTGTCCTGGTTAAAAATGGTAAACAATACCTGCGAAATAAGAAAAAGCAGGTTTGGATCTTCAAATATACAACAAAGTTTAGAGAACTGACTGATTGGTTCTGCTGGAGGTTTCTTCCTGTTAAAAGGGAGTTTTTCCTCTGCACTGTCGCTACAAGCATGCTTAGTGTGAGGGATTGCCTTTGAGTCAATGAGTTGATGCAATCAACTGGTTTTCCTTAGATAGAAAACTTTGAATCAATTTGACTGGATGATCTGGTGAACTTTAAAGTGCCTTGAGATGACATGAGTTGAGAATTGGCGCCATAGAAATAAACTGAATTGAATTACTCTTAAATCAACAGCCGTTCTAACAGGTCAGCATACCACCCACCAATAATGCACATGCGTGAATTTCAAGCTGTCCTTCCAGCATAACCCCCTCAACTAAATTCAATGGTGTTTTTTTATGTATTATATTGTGTTTTAACAATTTGCATAAAAATGAACAATTGCATTGAATTGCAACAGACTTCTGTATGATTGCTTTTTTTGTTGTTGTAAAATCTTTTAATCTTATTTTAGATCATTCAATATGGTGCTAGATAGAGTTTAGAGCCTCTACTGCAGAGGTCACGGATTAGCGGACCGCGGTCCGGATCTTGTCCCACCTGCTGGCTAATCCGGACCACACCTGATTTAAAACATTTATAAATTACCGCATGTAGTCTGACGGCAGTGTCTAATTTCACTTGCGCCGCTTCTCCTGTTAATACGGTAAAGCCCTCCCAGAGTGTCCGTCACCAGGCTACACCTGATACAGATAAGCCAATGAGCTGCTGTCAGTCTGGGTTGCTGCTGTTGCTACTTTTGGACACAGCAGGCAAACCTGTGGCAATTTTTTATATATTTTTATTTAAAAATTCAATGTATAACATGGATGCATAAACAGCATTTTATTTCACTGTTAAATTCTGTATAAAGTAACAGATTATAATTAAAAATGTCTTCAGACCTTTACTGGTTGTTGATTTTCTTTATTCGGACCCCCTTGATTTTTTTAATTGGTTCCACCTGCTCTATCGTAACAGCAAACCACTCCATTAACCGTTTCTACCTGAACAATCATACCCCTTCATAAACACTGGTAAACTGTTTCGAAAAGTACTCTGAAATGACAGAGAGCTATAAAAAAAATGTACTTCTGGTATGCTATTCTAAGCAGGCATGCCAAACCAGCAGAACGATTGACCTGTAAACCCCTAATTCTAAAAGTTGCAGCCAAAATAATCCTTTAAAAGCAAAAAGTTTCCAGTTTATTCCAGAGAGATTGTAGCCAACAGCTGCATACCTGGCTGCACTTTGATGTCCGACAATGCTTTGAGACAAGCCCGTTTTCTCTCCTCTCCCTTTGGAACCGGTCTGCGAATAGAAACAGCAAAACAGAGCAGACTTAGCTCTATCACCACATCCCTGCAGAGCAGACATGCAGAGCAGCACTCACTTGATGATGGCAGACACGTTGGTGATCTTGTTAAAGAAGTCAAACTCTCTTTGGTAGAAATCTTTGGCCGGGCCGGAGAGCGACCCCATGATCTCCTCCACCATCTGCTCCAGCAGCTCCCCGATGTCGGCTGCATGGACAGATGAGTGAGCCTCCATTAAAGGGGAAAATACACCAAACGCTTTACAGTGCAGAATGGTCTAAATTCCTCCCACTCTACTTTGTGCTTTTACTTCAAAATTATATACAAAAGACAAAAGTTGTTCATTCTTTTGCACTCAATCAAAAGTTCTTCAGATGATCAAGACATGGACTTTTACGGGATTGAAACGTAGGACATATATTACAGGTCATTTCATAGCTTGCTAAAGTGACCAGACGTCCAGATTTAATTGTCATTACATTGTCACACAGAGCAACGAAATGAACTCTGGACCTCTGGATTCCAAGCACAATGCCCTAACCACTAGGTCGTGGTCATCTTGGAAACTGCTTTCTTCACAGATTCAGAGGTGTTATTAGTTAAATAAGTATAAAAATAGATGTAAAAAAACCCAAAATATAAAAAAACAATCTATTAATATTTTGGGGGCTTTTTTGAGTTAATATTTCACATTTATATAAATCTAGAATTATTAACAAAAATATCCAAACAACACTTGTATTTGGTTCTTGCTAAATGAATGCTAAATACTATGTTATGTTACTAAATTAATACTGAATCCAGATGCAGAGTATCGATACTAGTGACACTTAAAGCGATAGTTCGGTATTTTTGACATGAATCTGTATGGCATCCCCATCACCAGCGGCATGCAATCACACTGACTTACCCCTGGCAGCGTCCTGTGAGCAGAGTTATCGTCCAGTTTTGGTCAAGCCGAAAGTAGTCCTGCAGGTTTTTAGGAACAGCGAAATAAAACTTTTCTCTTCCCAAAACATTATGTGTTCAAAAGAGTGATATTTTCGCATCCCAAAAACATTGTAGTGGAAAAAGTCACACGTTGTTATCAATTGGTCCTATTTTCTCTCTGTTCGTATCAGTGCGCGCCGTCATTCAGACAGCGAGCCCAACAACAGCCATGTCTCCCTCCGCCGCGGAAGGAGACATGGCTGTTGTTGAGCTCGCTGTCTGAATGACGGCGCGCACTGATACGAACAGAGAGAAAATAGGACCAATTGATAACGACGTGGGACTTTTTCCACTACAATGTTTTTGGGATGCAAAAATATCGCTCTTTTGAACACATAATGTTTTGGGAAGAGAAAAGTTTTATTTCGCTGGCTCTAAAAACCTGTCGGACTACTTTCGGCTTGACCAAAACTGGACGATAACTCTGCTCACAGGACGCTGCCAGGGGTAAGTCAGTGTGATTGCATGCCGCTGGTGATGGGGATGCCATACAGATTCATGTCAAAAATACCGAACTATCCCTTTAAACCTGTACTGGTAAAGGATTTAAATCCAAAATATGATGGAAATTTTGGTTAGAAAAATATAATGAAGCCACAATAAAGACAATAAATAAATAAAGCCTCTTACCCACTGAACATATCAGGTAAACATGGGTTGATCGGCTGACTTATAATCAGAAACCAGGTCGTCTGCGTGTGCGTCGCAGTTAAAGCAGATATGCCCCGCCCCCTCCGCAGACACCCTGCTGCACCTCTCCAAAAATGAAGGGTAACAACAGTCAGGAGGCCTCTGATTGGTCAAATCTACATCCACTCTACACTACGCGTATTTCCTGTTTGGTACCTTACCGGCTTGTTTTGTTTTTATGATCGCCATTGTGGAAAACGACTCGTGAAGATGGACCAGCTAGAAGAGCGAGGTCCGCAAGAACGCTGGGACCCTTTTTCCACCTGGATCCGCGCTATTTTTCGTCCTCATGCCCCTCTGTTGTCGGACAAACTTGCCCCCACTTCCTCAATGCCTCAGCCGTATCTAGACCCACAACTAGTTCCTGATTGTCCCTCTAGCATTGTGGCGTGGAATAACATAGCACAGAGCACGCTTCAATATTGGGCATAAATTAAAACTCAACTCCATTTCACTTATTTATATATCAAAATACCAAGCTGATAAAATTCCATTCCGCGTTTTCAACACAACCTTAATGCTAACACGCAGGGACATGCCAGATTATATCCAGTCCGTATTTTAGCACCAGCCCACTTATTCACTGTGCTGACTGAGCAGAGCTGGACCTGAGCCAGATATTGAAAAATAGTTAATAATTATTAAATATTAGGAGGTATGCCATTGGAATTTAATTTTATCTTATCTGGACTAAGATCATTCGCTTTGTAAATTATTGAAAATTTGAAGCAAAGTACTTGAGTAAATATGAATAAACTATACAGCAGCTCGCCTAAATTATCAATGTGGAGAGAGTGTAGGATCAGTTTAAATGGTTTGTTTTCTCTACATCTAGGGCGCCTTTTTTGTTTTTTAAAATCAAGCTTTAATCCTGGTTTCCTCTAATTTAACCTCCTGAATTAATCCCAGTTTAAGTCCATGTTTTGCTCACAAGTAAAATAATTATTGCTCAGTCTAGTTGAATGATCTCCCATTGGATTTTAGGACTAATTAAACCAACACAAATCTCTAAAGCTTTCAGATTTGCCTTACAAACCCATAGGAGATCCACAAAAGAAAAGAACTGTTGCATTTTATTTTTCAAAAGATCAGCCACCCAAGAAAAGACCAACCACATATAGAGAGGATGTGCAGAACAACTCAGTTATCCAGGATTGATTGAGGAGGAACCAGTATTGAGGTCCATTAAATATGTTTAAAAACTTAATTTCCATCACATCTACCAAAATAAAACATCCACAGAAATGCTGCCTTGTGTCATGGTGAGTTTTTATACAATCTACAGCCTCTTAGAAGGTCTGAATTGTCAATTGTAAAAATTTAAGATAATGAGTTAAGATTTTTCATTTTTAGCCTATTACCAAATATTCATACACAATGTTGTTTACACTGGTTCCTGTATTAATGCCAGCAATCCAGTAATAACTCATTTGTTTCCCATTGTTTATTTTACTCAAGCTGCATAGAATTATTATTAAAAACAGTTGTGAAATTCTTATTTTACTGTAGATGCAAGTATTTTAGTAGGGCCCATACTTTTAGTTCAATTCTCTGAAAATCACCAGAAAATAGAAAATAATGTATATTGTGTGAAAATGTTCCACATAAGTACGGATCACTTATTTTTATTTGTCATTTTGGCACTTAGTTTCAGTTACCATAATTTTCGGACAATAAGCCGCGACTTTTCCCCCATTTTTCGACCTTGCGGCTTATATAACAATGCGGCTTATCTATGGACTTTTACGGCTAACAGCCACTAGGGCAGTGGTTCCCAAAGTGTGGGGTGCGCCCCCTAGGGGGGGCGCAATGCCATTGCAGGGGGGGCGCGGGAAGCAGTATGGATGAATGAAGAAAAAAAA